AATATAAATAGTCAATTTATTTATTAGTAAAATTCCAGAGACATATAGAATTACCGATAACTAATATAAATTTTACCAGATTGTGCTAATAGTTAATTTATTAATTAATAAAATTCTAGTGACATATAGGTTTGCCGATAACTAATATAAATTTTACCAGATTTTGTTTATAGTCAATTTATTAATCAATAATATTCCAGTGACATATAGGTTTGCCGATAATTATTATAAATTTTACTAGACTTTGCTTATAATCAATTTATTAATCAGTAAAATTCTGGTGACATATAGGTTTGCTGATAACTATTATAAATTTTACTGGATTATGCTAAAAGTCAAATTATTTATCAGTAAAATTCTGGTGACATATAGGTTTGCCGATAACTAATATAAATTTTACTGGATTTTGCTTATAGTCAAATTATTAATCAGTAAGATTTCAGTAAAATTCCAGAGACATATAGGATTGCTGATAACTATAGTAAATTTTATCAGTTTGTGCTTATAGTCAATTTATTTATCAGTAAAATACTAGTGACATATAGGTTTGCCGATAACTATTATAAATTTTACCGGATTTTGCTTATATTCAAATTATTAATCAGTAAGATTTCAGTAAAATTCCAGAGACATATAGGATTGCCGATAACTATAATAAATTTTACCAGTTTGTGCTTATAGTCAATTTATTTATCAGTAAAATACCAGTGACATATAGGCTTGCCGATAACTGTTATAAATTTTACCAGTTTGTACTTACAGTATCAGTAAATTCCAGTGACATATAGGTGTACCGATAGCTCTATATAATTATCTATAAAGTTAACAATTACAACCCGATATAATTAAGCTTTGTCGGTATAATTTATTGTAATATTCATAGTTGTATCGGGTGCCCGATATGTATCTGATTTAAAAATAAAAAACTGGAGACATATCGAAACCCGATTTGTCTCCAGTTTTTAACCAGTTGTACAGTTCCCGATTTGCCTTTATTCGACCTGTGTATGTACTTTGTGATTTAGATATTTCTTTTCAGGTTCAGTTGCTTCATAGATTATTTCCCAAAGCAACAATTGTAGATTATGATGTAAAGAATTATATGTATACGTTTCATCAAATTTATGAAATGCAAGATAGCAATGCAGCAAAACTTCTTCAACACTTTGAAAAAGAACATGCTAAAGACTATACATGCCGACGAAATTATTTCAGGTTTTGGAACCCGAAATTAAAAATTTTTTCCAAAATTGTTTTTGACCTATTTTACTTAAAACCCAAAATTTTTTGATACTTTTTTTGAATAGACCAAAATATAAAGAACATAAATATATAAATTTTATTTGCCCTTCTTTATAAAAAATTTTAATTTATTTTTGAAAACCCGAAATAGGCTTTTTTAAAAAATTAATTTTGGTAGCATGTATACTAAAGACCCCGATTAGTACATTCAATTACTAATCGATCCAGAAACAAATAGATTACAGGGTGTATTTTATATGTCACCTGAACAATGAGAACTATGCACTGTTTTGCAAATATTATTTTAAATGATAATACCACATCAACCAATGCCTATAATTTATCATTATGTTTTTTTGCTATTGTTGACAACAATTTCAAGTCAAGAATTGTTGCACAGGCTATATTATCTGATAAAACAAGTGAAAGTTATAAATAGGTATTATAGCAAATGATTAAAGCTACAGGAGTTCATCCCAGTACTTTTATTATTGACACTAATCCAGGTCCAGAGAGTGTTGTTTTTGAAATATACCCAAATACTTATCTTCTTCACTGTGTTTGGCATATTGGACGTAATCTTGAAAAACAATTATTTAAAAAACTTGGTGATTGTTATTTTGATTTTCTCAAAGCATTCTATCATATCCAAAATATATTATGCAAAGAGGCATTTGAAAGATATTGAAGCAACTAATAATTGAATTTCTGGAATCAACTGAATATCTACTTAGACAACTTAATTCTCGTAAAACAACTTGGGCAAAGGCATTCACTAGTGGATTTTTATAGCAAGAATAACATCTACTCAACAGTCTGAGTTAATAAACAGTGTGATTAAGTGAAGTGTAAATAAAAAAACTTAATTACATATTCTGTTTAAGTGAATTGAATCATGTGTTGCCAAAGAGCAATTTACTAGTCAGTTTTCAGCTTGGTGTAAGAAGACATTATCATATGAGATACCAAATATTTGTAAGAGACTATATATAATGTTTTACAAAAATATGTAACACCTAAAATTTTACAATTACATGTTGATCAAATGAATAAGACAGTTATGTATAATAGTCAAAAAATAAAATTTGATGATCTATTCAACTTGATATTGGATATAGTAGAGAATAGTCTAATTGAACTTGAATATGATTTTTAGCAAATATGTCTTGATGAACTTCTTAAGAGGATTGATCATTTTTTAGTTGCTGAAGTTTGGGAAGTTCAGTCAATTGAGAATAAGCCAAGTGTTGGACAGCATGTAGTTTTACTAAAAAATAGGTTCTATTTATATACTTGTATTTTGTTGTTTGATAGTACAATTGTTTGCCATTATTGGTTTTATGTTCTTTTACAATCCTCTTTCATATTTCTTTTATTCCAAAGCGTTGGTATAAAGATGAAATGATGAATGTATCAATTAATGATAAACTATTTGTTAGAGAAAAATTACAAGAAAATAGTAATTCAACATTAAACATATCAAACATATCTTTATTTTCAACTGTTGCTGAGTCATGGAATATTATATTTATAGAACTATCTGAACAAACAGCTGCAAAAGTGATTGGTCAAAAGCAATCTATTAAAGAAACTTTGCTTGGACTTGCATGCAAATGTGTAGAACTAGTTGATTATAATAATCCTAGAGATTCTGATACTTTAATGAAAATGTTTAAAGAATAGATTTTTGATCATAAAAGAATACAGAATAGCAAAGAGATAAATATGCTACTAAATATTGAGCATAATCAAGTCTCAGAAAATAGGCAAGTTATAGAAAGTAATCAAGTTACGGAAGGTGATCAAGTTATAGAAGATAAGAAAGTTACAAAAGATGAGCAAGTTATGGAAGATGAGCAAGTTACAGAAGAGAATGACTTTTCAGAATATGAGGAGATTATAAGAGATGAGGCTTTTGAAATCACATATCTTGATGTTCAAAACCCACTTCAGCATATTGGAAAAGGTCGACCTGCAAAAATGAGAATTAAATCAGCAACTGAAAAAAATAAAAAAATCAAATTAGCAAGTAATAATTTACATCATACTTCCCATCATTGTTGTAGTGTTTATAAAAACAAAGGGCATGATAAGCGAAATTGTCCTAACAAATAATTAGTATGAAAATATTCTGCTTTTATGTGCAGTTTTATTGTAATATGCATATTTTAATTGATTAATCAGACGATTTTATGATATTGATTATGTGATTTAATTCATTTTATCATCAATTTTATTATTTCTTATTAACTATAATTTTGAAATCAATTTAAGGTTCATACGATGTATAACTCATCTTCTAGCAAGGTTTTTTTGCTAGAGTTTGATTAGTTAAAAAGAAGTTCGTAGGCCAAAGGTCTGCGAATGTATAGGGAGATTTATATATAATAATTGTACAATCATTGTGCTTTTTTATTAATGTAATATATAATAGTGTTGTATAAATATATATAAATATATACGTGATATTTTTAATGATATATAATTTATTAGTGTTATATAAGCTATTGTCACATATGTGACAAATAACTTAACTCTTTAAATTATATATTGACAAAAAATATTTATAGAATCAAGATTTTAAATTCGTATTTATCATCTTTAATCTTTGTACCAACTGCATTAAAATAACTTTCTATTTATAGAAATACAATAATCTCATTCGAGTTGAAAAGTTAACAGATAGAAAAGATGGCTAAGCAGGGTCAGATCTGTAACTGTAGTCATTATATCTATTATTATAAATCATAGGGATACTTGATAAAATTCAAGTTGGTGAAATCAACAGATCAAAAGATGGCTAAGTGGGATATGCCGAAAGTGATCCAGTGTTACTATCAATTAGAGAGCGTCAAATAAAGGTACGAGATAACTCAGGATGAGTATACGAGATGGATAATAAAATATGTCTAATCAATCTCGGATATACAAAAACTCAGCAAGTATTCAAGTATACCAAATAAATAAACAAAGCGTGTAATACAAAACAAAATAAATAATCGGCAAGGGATATGATATAATCATAGATATCACTCATAGGTCTTTATTATAAAGAAGGAAAGAACCTAAAAGACAAGTAAGGTATAATCATTTAAAAAGTTGAAACACTTTGTATAACTGTTGAGTATAGACTACCAGCACCATAATAATATCTTCATTGTTAGGGCAAAGAAGTAAGACTAGTGGCCACTATTCACAAGAAGCAAATCTGCACCAGAGACCCAAATCGATGCAGAATCCACGTAAAATCTTGGTATTTTGTGGTAATTTAAACTTTATCTCGAATAGGGATGTAAAACTGTTAAAACTAACTATATTAATTACAATGCTAATCAGTAAGAATTATAATTAGCTACATTTTATACGTGATAGTGTTTTTGATTAATATATGAAATATAACAGTTACGAACTAGTTTATAAGGGGGGTTTTGTGGTCAAGTTAAGATCTTCACTGGTAAAACTTTTCATTATGTACATAAAATTTCAAGCTACCTTTTTTGCATGATGGCAAAACCCAAACCTTAAAATGATGAAACCCATACTCAAAATGACGAAACTGCTAAAAAAAAAATGTTATTTTCATTGAATAAATAAATAAATAAATATTGCATAAGACCACTCAAATAGATTCTTCGTTCAACATAAATTAAATACAGTAGTTCATAAGAGTGGAGGAGAGGTATAAAAAATATACAAATTCAAAAAAATACAGCAATTCTATTGGCTGCAAAAAATTATAAAATATATAAAATCATACTGCAATTTGATTGGTTAATCGAGGTGTATTTTTTATAAAATTTTAAAAGTAGAAGGGGTTATGTTAAACGAAGAATTAAATTGGGTTGGCCTAATTTATTCAGCGATCAGTATCTGAAATTACATGTAAGCCAGCAAAATAATCCATTTTATATTTTCTAGGCAATGCTAGATTTGTTATAGACTGGTAAAAGCAGGGCTGGACAACTAGACAATTGGACAATTGGAAATTTGTCCAGTGTCCAGTGTTCCAATTGTCCAGTGAAATGCACTGGATTAAGAAAAATAATCACT